CCCCCCGGTGTACATTCCGCATCATTTCGTTTTGCGCGAATCGAGTACGACTACTAAGTTACGCGTCGTGTTTAACGCGTCGAGCAAATCGGACGATAAAACCACTCTCAACGATTTCCTAATGGCGGGACCAAAGCTACAACAAGACATCGCTGCAATAATTTTACGCTGGCGATTATTCCGTTACGTATACATGACGGACATCGCGAAGATGTTCCGTCAGATACGCATGCATCGTGACGACGCGGATTATCAACGAATTCTTTGGCGCCCTCCCGCAAGTCTGTTGATTCGACTGTATCGCTTGCTCACCGTGACTTACGGCCAAAAGCCATCGCCATTTCTCGCGCAGCACTGCCTTCTTCAATTTGCTTGTGACGAATGTAAATATTTTCCCGACGCGGTTTCAATAATCGAAGAATCGACCTACGTCGATGACGTTCTTTTCGGAGCAGACGACCTTCGGTCTCTGCTCGAAAAACGCAAGCAACTCGTCGGACTAATGAATCGCGGATGTTTTCCCCTCCGAAAATGGGCCGCGAATTCACCCGAACTGTTGACGGATATCCCGGAGGACCAACGTGAATCCTCGGACTATCCGATCAATCGCGATGACACGCTCAAAATCCTCGGCCTGTCTTGGTCACCGCATGACGACTCGTTTACCTTTGTAATCTCGCCTTACGGCGTAACTGTTCATACTAAACGCTCCATTTTATCATTTATTGCAAGGTTATATGACCCCCTCGGATGGGCGTCACCGATCGTCATCGCGGCCAAGATGTTGATGCAAGAGCTCTGGCTCCGTAAAATTGATTGGGACTCTCCCATCCCCGACGATCTTTTACCTCATTGGATTAATTATTATACGGATTTGCCTCATATCAGTGAAATACGCATTCCCCGATGGACAGGGATGCGTCAAGATAAACTCGAAGTGGAATTACACGGATTCGCGGACGCGTCCATTCGAGCTTACGCCGCGGTCGTTTACCTTCGAATCGTGCATTCTACCACGAATATTCAGGTGACCCTCCTCGCGGCCAAAACGAAGGTTGCGCCGTTAAAAACCGTCAGCGTTCCACGATTAGAACTTAACGCCATCGTTCTATTAACTCGGTTGTTAGATTGGGTAAGAAATTCCCTGCGCTTTCCGCGAGCGTCATTATTCGGATGGACTGACTCCCAAATCGCATTGGCTTGGATTCAGCAACATCCATCGCGATGGACTTCCTACGTCGCGAACCGCGTCTCCGAGGTGCAGACGCGTCTTCCGTCAGTACGTTGGCAGCACGTCCGCACGCACGACAATCCTGCCGACTGCGCTCTCGCGGCTCTACCGCTGTCGATCTCGTACACCATGAATTATGGTGGGTAGGCCCCCCGTGGCTTAGAAAATCCCCGGCCTCGTGGCCGATTCTCCCGACTCCTACCGGAAAGAAAATTTTGCAAACGGTATCTTCCGAAGCGCGCAAAGCTCCCGGTTATCTCGTCGATCCAACTCCTGAGTGGGAGCTGCCCACCTCGTGCTCGAGCTGGATCCGACTTCTCCGTATTACCGCGTACATTCGCCGCTTCATGCAAAACTTAAAAAATAAAGTCGCCTCATCGACGATCGTCAAGTCGCCTTTGACCGCAGAAGAGATTCACGAAGCTTCGGTTTTTTGGCTTCGATTGGTACAAGCGACCTGCTTTCCTGATGACTTGAAGGCCTTAAAAGCTCATGCCACCGTATCGAGAACAAGTCCATTACGCTCTCTCCACCCATTTATCGGGAAAGGTTTACTAATCCGGCTGGGCGGGCGGCTCGAAAACTCAGTGCTGAGTTACAATGAGCGACACCCGGTCATACTCCCACGACATCATATTTCTGAACTTTTGATCGATCAAGCTCACCGACGCTCCCTCCATGGAGGGACACAACTCACGCTTAGATGTCTCCGTCAGACATATTGGATAATTTCGGCGCGAAGCATGATCAAATCTCACATTCATAAATGTGTTACCTGCCTTCGATACTCCGCGAAAACGCCGACGCAATTAATGGGTGATCTCCCGAATCCCCGAGTCAATCCCTCTCCTCCTTTCTCTCACACGGGCATAGATTATGCCGGACCGATGATTATTACCCTTGTGATCGGCCGTGGTCAAAGAGGGAGCAAACATTACGTGGCGGTCTTCGTTTGTCTCGCCACTAAAGCGATCCACCTCGAGTGTGTCGAGGATTACTCCTCCGAGGGATTCCTTGCCGCATTTCATCGGTTCGTCAGTTGACGCGGACTGCCATCGGACATGTACAGCGATAATGGCACGAACTTTCGGGGTGCGGATCGCGAGCTACAATGCAGCTTTCGCTCGCTTATGAACGACCCTTCCCTCAAAGAAATCCTCGCGAATGACGGTGTGAAATGGCATTTCGTGCCCCCGGTGGCACCACATTTCGGCGGGCTTTGGGAGGCTGGCGTTAAAAGTTTTAAGCACCACCTCAAGCGGGTGATCGGTGCTCGTACCCTGTCTCGCTCAGAATTCGTGACTATTTTATGTAAGATCGAGGCGTGCCTCTACACTCGACCGATTTCGCCCCTCAGCGACGATCCGTCCGACTTTACCGCGTTGACGCCTGGTCATTTCCTCATCGGTCGACTGCTCACCAGCGTCCCGGAGGAATCATTACTCGAAATCAATGCGAATCGGTTGTCGCGATGGCAACACGTGCAACTCATGGTCGAACAGATCTGACGTTCTTGGTCGTCGGACTACTTACATTCATTGCAACAGCGCGTCAAATGGACCGAATCTCACGATAATCTCAAGGTTGACGAGTTAGTTTTGCTAAAAAATAATCTCCTTCCTCCTTCGAAGTGGGAACTTGCAAGGATTCAACAAGTCCATCCCGGACTTGACGGTCGCGTTCACGTCGTTACATTATGCACCGCCAATTCCGAATTGAAACGATCAATAACACAGATCTGTCGGTTACCTGCGACCATCGGGCCCACGGAGCCTGTAGAATAACATTAAACTAGACTATTTTGTTCCTCATTAGACTTAAGAACATTGGGCAAAATATTGTAAGCTCTCAAGTGTATATAATGTATATAAGTAAATGTATCATAAGACTCCAGCTACCATTGCGTGCTCACTTATGCGACCTCGTTCAACCCCGTTTGTTTCGCATTCCGTTGAATACGAGGCGGGCGGGATGTTGAAAATCTAACACTCGCAAAGTGAAAGCGAGCGCTGGGAATATTCGAGAACGCTCGATTTGCTCCAAAACGTTTATTTGCCTTCCCCCCGGTTTTTTTGGTGTTTTCGCTCGCGCCCGGAACACAGGTGCACATCGCATGACCGCTCGTACAGCGACCAATAGTCAGGTCGCTCGACGATTTGGAGCCAATCAGCGTTTTTCACGTATCGAAGTTTCCTCGCGGAAAAGTTCGGAGCTCCGGCCGCGATCGCTTTGCTTGCTCCGGCCGGGAGCTCAGTGAGCCAAGTGCGCCCTAGCCATTCGTACGCGACACTGATTGTCGACATCGAAAACGGACCACAAATCGGAGCGAATGTAAAAGCGAGTGCTGTGTAACAAACTTTAATAAATTGACTGTTACATTTTCCAAACGAGAACCTAATTATTTTGAACTGTCCTCGGCTCGCCGCGCGAAAACCCGGAGCGGTCCACTTAACACCAAGCTTCTACAAATTTTCGCTTAAACATTGTTTTCGATTTATCACATGTTTCCATGTTAAAAGAAAAATAGAATGTAATAGAAAAAACGCAACAGAAAGAAAGATAGAAGTTAAGATTTAAAAAAAGGAGAGAAAAAGAACTGTGAAAAAGAACGAAGAAAGGATTTTTCTTAGTTCTTAGTAGTTAATAGAGAAATACGAATATAAGAAATATTAAGGAAAAAGGCGAAGAAAAATGAAAAAACAACTAAAAGAATACAAACAGAAATTTGAAAGATTGGAAATACCGTGAAATTTAGAAAAAGCTCTCTACGCTTAAGGATAAGATGCAGTCATGCAGATGTCTGGATGACGACAAGACGCGAGTCTAGAAATTATTTAGAAATTAAGCCGTTTCACGGATTCGCGGATTCGCTGCCGCGAATCGAAACGAAGATGAAAGGGATGAGTAGGGGAGACCGGGGCTAAACCGCCAGTTTTTTTTCGGTGCCGATTTTTAACAACAAAATAAATAATTTAAGTTAAAATTGATATACCACTGTAAAGAGTGAACCTTTAGCTACAAAATTTATACAGGAAATTTTTATCTACGTCGCTTTGTTTAACCGGTATAGAGCAAAAACGACAACGGTGGAAAAATTAAAATCTCAAAAATGCCGGGGTTGAACCGCCACCCCCCCCGGGGCTAATCCGCCACACTGCATTTTCAATACATATACGTACATCTAATCCTGAAAAATGATAGAATACATTTTAATAATTGTTTTTTAGGAGAAAAATA